CAAACACGCTGCTACTTTCATTAATGAGGCCTCGCACAATTATTTACAACGTACTGCTAATCTAACTATGTTTAAGACAGTAGGCGGTTGCACAATAATACATGCATATAAATCATTGCTTCTATGCGGTTTAATGTATCATTATTGTTTAAATTCTATTTGTGAATGATGTAAGCGTACATATTTCAGTTATAATGCTGGTTTTGTATGAATGAATATTGAATCACTTTAAGCGGGAGGGTCATCACCTGCGCACGCGCGGGAATTTAGCCCAAGCGACGATAACAACACACGCTAAACACGCAAAGGCTCATGGGTAGATGCTTGTTTGTAAACATTCAATTAAGCTGCGCGGAAACGCAAAATGTAGTCCCCCGCTTTGTATGTTCAACTTGTTTGAAATGTTTCCGTAAAATTGTTCATTTCAAATCATTTGTATGAAAATTCAGTGGACTTGGTGACGTTCTAAAATGAGGAAAAATTCATTTTAAATTTCAGATGTAGTAAAGCCAGCCATATTTATTGCGTCACATTTTTGCACAAAACTGAAATACATGATCAATAAATCAGAAACGATATTCCAAATTTGTCAATTTTTACAACATGAATTATATACAATAGTGCAATTGTAATTACGTATATTACATTGTAGTCACGGAAACATAATTAAAATGATGTTTTAAGTCGCATGATAATTTTGAATGTGTTTAATCAGACAGTTCATCTATAGTTAACTCATCAAGAGTATTTTTCAAGGTGTTTACAAAATTCTGCCAAAACAGAATATCATAATATTTTGCAATACGGCTGCCTTTAATTTGCTGTGCATCACGGTGGCTGATTTGCATACTGTGAACAACATCTTGCGGACCACATATTGTATGAATAATATGCAAGCGTATTTGTGTTTGTGAACGTTTGTATAATTTAAATTCAGATATCCAAATTAAAAGCCACAGTGTCAAGACGATTTGTTTCACACGCCTTGTAAAAGTCGCAAGGGACCCATATCGAACACTAAGCATCACATGCAGTGCGTTTCATTTTATATTAGTATTTTCAATTATTATTTTTTCTGATGACAACATCACACTTTTATGAAATAAATTAAATATTCATTACTTACAACTCTCCTGATCGATTTCTCCAATGCAGTGCCATAAACGGGTCGCCGCCACACAATTTTTTCTCCACATCATCAGCCATTTGCAATATATTTGGTGCTGATCGCAGACGAGATTCTATATTCTTGCGATGTTTTACTAAACCAGGAATTTCCCACCTCGTGTCTATACCCGGATCTAATATCCCCAAACACCTTGTCCTCGGAGGATTTAACAACAATTTCTCCGCTCTCTGACTGTTTTCGGGGATGAAAGAAGTATCGGGTAGTTTAATTTTATATCTTTTTTCTAAACCTGCGCGTTTCCATTCGTAACGCTTAAAGTAATCCTCTTTTTTTTTGATATCCCCCATGCGAAAATATGGATGCATCAACAGTCGCCTGACTGTACTGTTGCATTCTTTTTTGAATTCTTCCACAGATGCTACATCAACTAAATTTTTGAGGTACGCCATATCGAATGTCTCATTGAGGAATCGGGTCTCTTTGCCTCCTGACGTCCAATGTGTTGAAAACCAAATCTCGACAAGAGTACGGTTATACGCAACTGCAAAAGCGGCTCCATTCACAAATGCGCCGTATTGTACATTGGGGCCGTTGTAGTCATAGTGCAGTGCAAATAGATAGTATTTCTTTCCTACATTTTCTGTTTCGTTTTTTTCACCGTCATCTAGTGCATAATCATTATTTGATGGGTTTTGACTACCTGTCAATTTCAGTTGTTCATCCTGGAAAAAATATAATGTTAATCTTAGTTAGTTAGTACGCGATGTATCACCAATTGGAACGCTAATGACAACGGACCAGGTTAACCTTGTGTTTTGAGTGAAGCGTTATGTTCAATCCAGCGTAAATGAACAGTTTTCGGCAGCGTACGACTAGTTTACGTATATCTCATAACATTTCCCCTGACTCAATATTATTAAATATTTATTTTAAAATTTATTAAAAATTCATGCTTTTATGTTTATATTTGCTGTTATGTTTCTTCAGAACACCTTTGTAACGGCGGTATTGTCAGTATATTATGTTGTGTATGACTGCTGTTGGAGCAGGAACTCTGCCAGCTCAAATCGCCGTTTGGGAAATGTTAGGAAGAAAACCACCTCGAATGGTCGAATTTTATATTAACACATTGAACCATTTTTGCCCCATGAATGCTTTGAATGTAGCATGTATGACCAAATCATCTTCTAGGAATATATTATATTAGTGAGTACATATTAAAGTATATTTTACTGTCAGCCATCAAACTTGGACGTGACAAAAAAGCTACTATGTTCCTTTATTTTTTTGTAAATAATGCTGGATCTTTGCGAGTGTGCACACGAATAACCAACGTTGTTAGTATCTGTAATTCCCCATACAATCACAATTAATGTATAATCATTTAGTACTGAAATAAAACGTTAGAAATAAAAAGGTTTCATGCAAGAAAACATATGTAGAATAGATAATCTCAATAACTGACTACGTAGTAAGCTGTTTTGTCGCAGCGCTAATATTATATTTCCGGAAATATCAAGAAATTTGTCATTTTGTAGATTGAAAACAACATCATAAAAACTAAACTAAAATGCAAATTATTGTTTATATGTATCACACATACTAATTGGTTTCAAAAACAATAACAAATAATAACAAATAATAACAAATAATAACAAATAATAACAAATCAGAGAGGCGGCTACGCGACGTATTGACTCCACCGTTGAAAACACACTCAACTGCGTATAACCGTACGCATCAGCTGTCCCAATTGGTACACCCCCTCCCTTTCAGTGTACTGGCAATTGTCACATTCTGTTCACGCCATCAGGGGGGTTATATCTGCAGCAGCTTGTTTTGACTGGGCACGATTATGGGCGGGTTATGTTTCAGCCTTCTAAATATATAATATATAAAAAGAACTGTAGTCAATGTTCACAGATTTAAAAAGATCACACACCAAGTCATGATATTCGCCTGCTGAATACTTCTTATTTAACCATATTTAAAGCGCGGTGGTCCTCGCGCAGCGCGTGTTCGAATTTCATGTAAATAAACAATGTATTTTACACGCGTTGTATACGTCGCTATGAGTCCAATATCGAACAGGGCGCGGCGCGGCGCGACAACTGCCGCCCTTTAAGTTCAAGTTATACGCGACGCACTGTGGTATGGTAGAACAAGGTATATTTCAACCATTTTGTTACGTAGGAATACTTTCACGGTAAAGGAGGGAAATTTATTAAAACACAGAACACCTGATTGCATTCATATATCATTTGTATTCAATATTTCTAATAATATGCTTCCATTCCTGGGATAAAATAATCTATGGCAGCAAAAAAGCTTAAATTTAAGCAGCGAAACTGTTGGTCCAAACTGCGTCCTTCATTTGATTAATTGGCTAAATCTAAGCTCTGAAAATAAATCATACGGTCGACTTTGCTCAAATTTAAGTTTTGAAACAAAAGAAAATGCTATGAGGAGATTGTCTTGTAAAACGTTTCCAAGAAAAGTTGACGAATCTGTAGCAATCGACAATAACTCTTCAAATAGATATCAACACTGCAGTTGATTAGCATTATCATTGTTTATAAATCCAAATATAAAAGAAGGCAGCACCTTTGTTAATATTATACTCACAGAAGCCCCTCCTATACCAACAAAATGGTGGCCCACAATGTTGTGCCTTCAATGAAAGTCATGACAAATAATGGAAGTTCTAGGATAGTATTTTGTGATAATCACGTGATTTGGTCGACATATTGGAAGGAGTTTTTTATACTACTGCTTAAGATATCAAATTTCTTCGAAATTTTTCATGTCTCAACTGAACTCATTTGCACAGTGAAACATTAATTATGTTAGTCATGTGGTTTGGTCGTCATCTTGGATTTTCAGCAAAAATTATCAAAATTTGGAGTATGTTATTTCGCATCAACTTGATTATCATGAGAAAAATGGACCAGTCACATGGTTTGGCTGTCATCTTGGATTTGTGGCAAAAATGGCAACAATTTGTAGCATTCGTGTGTGTATCAAGGAATAACCTACAATTACAAGATTATACTAGTGTATAATCATTTAGTACTGAATAAATATGATAGTGTGCAATTTGGTATGCAGATAGTATCGCTGGAAATAAAACTATTTCATGCGAGAACACATATGCAGGATAGATATTCGGAATAACTGATTATATACAACTAAGATGATTTGTATTAGCACTAATATTATAATGCGACAATACCAAGCATGTTGTCATTTCGTAGATGACAAATTACATCATAAAAGCATTTTAGTGCCAATGTAAGAATATTATATAACTAAAACGTCGCCGAAGATAGCAATCTCCTCTTGAAGAGATATTGACTTCGAAATAGTTATTATAATACAACTACGCTTATGATATTATTGAATATCATGCATAGTTTAATTTAAGTATCAATCTGTAATTTTATGAAAAAGGATTATCATAATGTTAAAATGCAGACTAATTACAATACAACCACATTTATATAGTCGAAAAATGTATTCTGATTCCAAATATTCAACTATTATACGAATAGAAGCATATGCTAGAATCATGTAAACTTAATGATATTCGGTTTCGATACTCGGTTATGTCAGGTTAAATAATAACATAACAGATTTTTTACAATTGCTTAAACTCAGTGTTTTAATTGACGAATACACCAATAATGTTTTGATTCCAAACCAAACTGTTAAGTACTATGTGTACTGTCAATGAAATGACGTTGACATGCCACATACTATTAGAAATACGAAGCTAGTTACAAAATCTTTAATATCACACCATACATCTTTTCATACATGCGACGTAATATCGGTATCTCAATGGTAAACTAACTGTCCAAATGTTACTCACCTCATTAGTGTTAGTCGTCTGTATGTCTCCATCCGCATCCGTCACCTCAACACTATTCAGACCCGTCCCATTGCCTGCTTTCGTCACTCTAGCGACCGGTTTCACGGAGTCAAGAACTGTCTGTAAAGAATCCCACGTGACAAAGAACTCAAAAAAGGCAACAAAAACACAACACGTGATAAATAGTTTCAAAAAACAATTCATAGTAACAAATCGAAAACGCGGCTACGCGACGTATTGACTCCACCGTTAAAAACACTGAACTGTGTATAACTACGCATCAGCTGTGCAAATTGGTACACCCCCTCCCTTTCAGTGTACTGGCAATTGTTACATTCCGTTCACGCCATCAGGGGGTTATATGTGCAGCAGCTTGTTTTGACTGGGCACGATTATGCGCGGGTTATGTTTCAGCCTCCTTAATGTATAATATATGTAAAGATCTGTTGTCCATGTTCACAGATTTGAAAGATTACACATCTTACACAGCAGTCAAGTCAAACAATATATCGCATACTATGTGCCAGTTAAATATGTCTTATTTAACCATATATACGTTCAAATTACACGCGACCTACTGTGGTATGTCAGTTAACTTGTTCGATACAATTTAAATTTCTAGTTTGTTAAGAAATATTTATAAATATCGCCATCAATTGTACAACAATAATTTGGCCAAAAACAAACGTTTCTAATTCAAACGCTGCACAAAATGATCTTTGCTTACTCGCAAATTGACCTTACACATGAACACCCGTAACCCCAGCTTTCGCTCGACAAAATTGTATTTCAATATAGCGCCCTCTATATAACTTGGCCCAGCCTCGCGGCCATTTTTAAACTTTACTTTACACATCTCGGCAGTGGCCGTTACAAACTAACACCGATAACACAGGGAATGTTTTATTAAAAACATAAATTGGCGAAAACAAGATCGATAAATAAAGCTGTTGTCACTTAAAATCGATTGTACATGCACGATACGTAATGTGTAAGTGCCGAGACTGTAAATGAGGCTGTGGTTTTGATCATCGTAGACATATTTGTAAGAATGTGTTTAAGAGTACATACTGCCCAAACCATTGAACACGTTGTATTAGGTTAGGAGTTACTTAAGGTAGAGAGAAGGGAAATTGTAATTGTTTACTATGACTCATTATTATGACTCGTTATTAAATGTCACATGTGCGACATTTGTATTGATAAACATTGATTTCTCCATAATCCAATGCGCTTTTAATGACATCACGAGTATGAGTATTGACCTGGACGTCACTTGCACTAATTACGTATACCAGCAGTGACCTCTTCGATACCTTCCAATCACCAAAGAAATTCCTAATTAAAGCTCGGTAAACGCTCATTTTGTACTTATAAGTGTGCGCAATAGTCAAAGTCGCCATCTTTGTTTATACGAGACCCATATCTCGCGCATGCGTGGCGCAACGATTCCCACCCTTTAAGCATGCACCTGCAGCAATGTACATGTTTTCCAAAAACTGAGATATATAGTGGAATACGATCTTAAAACAAACATTCCCACGAACCTCCTAAAAATAGGGCGTTTGTGTTTGATTTTGTCACTGTTGCTTTGAAACTGAGTTACGAAATAGATCGTATGACCAAACTCAAAATCAACGGCGACAGGAACGTCTCCAATTTTTGCATTGTAAGAAAGTGTTGAAAGATGACATTTCTTAAAACTTCGATAGATAAACAGATAACTAATTGCCAAATATCTATTATTTCGATCAGACTTTATAAACATACAAGTATTCGATCTATCAAAGACTGTTATATCGTGAAAAATTAGTTGACACGACTGTCTCCCAGAAAGATACAACACTTAGTATTTATAACGAAAGTAGATGCTAACTTGAACAAGATGGCGTATCACACAACTAATTTATTCAAGTTCTTTTGTTATGTTAAACTACTTCAACTCGACACAGGGCGGATTGTCATGACAGCATATGTATGCATGCCTTCAAATACAAATAAAATATACGATGTAATGTTTAACAATTCGATTTTTTGGAAAATGTTTATCTTACACGTTTTTTCCACTCTCTCTACCTTAAGTTCATGTCAACATGAGACTCTACGTGTGGATATTATGTTTCTTGGGAGTAAATACAAACATAATGTGTTTATTCTGGGCTGGTTGTAACAAGAAGTCAGTCAACTCGTGAACATGGGATTAAGTACTAGTACCTCGAGGTAAGTTTGACAATACTGGTAAACATTGTAGCCATTGTTTTTTCAGACCATTGCATGCCAACAGCCAGAAAATCCCCTGAAATATCTTATTTGTATAGCCTACACACACATTTTGTTTTGCCACAAAGTTTTATTGTTTCTGCTGTAAAAGTGATTGTTTTAGCTAAAAAACATAGTAAAATTTGTAATCCACAAATTCTTGGGGATTCTACTGTCTCTGCCGTAAAAGTGATTGTTTTAGCTAAAAAACATAGTAAAATCTGTAATCCGCAAAGCATTCTTGGGGATTCTACTGTCTCTGCTGTAAAAGTGATTGTTTTAGCTAAAAAAACATAGTAAAATCTGTAATCCACAAAGCATTCTTGGGGATTCTACTGTCTCTGCTGTAAAAGTGATTGTTTTAGCTAAAAAAACATAGTAAAATCTGTAATCCGCAAAGCATTCTTGGGGATTCTACTGTCTCTGCTGTAAACGTGAGTGTTTTAGCACAAAAAAACACAGAATAAAGCGTGTAATCTGCAAAGCATGCTGGAGAATTCCATTGACTCTGCTCTGAAAGTGATTGTTTTACCACAAAAAACAGAGTAAACAATATGAATGCAAAGCATGCCGAGGAATCATATCAGCATTTCCACAAAAAGCAATCTTCTTCAATCCAACCCATATATGACAAAATACAAATATGATTATATGCCAATGCCATCCTTATTTTTCTGTCAAGAAATCACTCTCTTATTTATAGTTTTCTTTGCTTTTGAGAAGTATTTATTTCCAGTGTTTTGTTCTTTTATATTAGATACGTGTTGTTTATATTTGTATATTCTAAAGTGATAATTGATACCGATTGGCAACTTTGGTGAAATGCCGAGACAACTACTAACCCTGATTTACAACTACGAGGTGAGAGAACCACATATTAGTATATTGTTTAAATCAAATGAAATAAAATCGTGCACTCGACCCCATCCACATTATGGCGACGAACAGCGTCAGAGTGAATCTGCCGATGAGGGCGCAATAGCAATGCCAGACTATAAATATATTTGTGTGGGTTGACACGAAGGTCAATATAGATTTGAACAAATTAAATACTGGTATGAAAACGTGGTATTACAATGGTCAAAACTTAAACCAAAATGATAGACTGATACATTTATCTGTTTGGTTCAACACAAACGTCAATATTGAATAATGATTTCCAGTGTTCCCTTATATGTGTGTAAACTAGCACGTTTGTTATGCCATAAATAATAATATAATTATTTATTGAAATAAATTGCAAATGTTAAAATACGTGGATGTCAGAACGACGAGATTGATGGTATATGTGTTTCCGGGGTTGATACTATTGATACTGGAGGTGTTGTAGGAGGCTGCATCCGTGTAACGTGTGCAAACTTTGGTTGTAAGGAATCTGACGAATTTCTATTTGTGAATGTCACATGTCAGATAAACTATTTTACCGACTTGTAGTTTATTGTTGATTGAAAACTAAGATGGAAAATGAAATTGCTGTAATCTGGTTCATTTTAATAACTTTATATAACAACGATAATACAAGCTCCATTAATTAACATCACAGTACCTGTATACATATTTCCACGTGTTTTCTTCTAATTTGTTTTGTTATTTGCTTTTTACTGTAAAAGTGGAAATCATCATGAGTAAATATGTTTTGAAATGATTTGGGTGGTCATTATATGCTATACAAGTATCACCGTAGATAGAGCGTATTCTCCAGCTACATGGAAACCAGGTGTCTTTTGGCCATTTTTTACATTTTCTAATAGTTTAATTTCAGAAAATCGTGTTACCCTTTTCATCTGTGCATTTCCTTGTTTTTATAATTTTCTGTAGACGACTTGTTCACCGGTTTAGATGAAGATTTTAATGTGATCATAGACAACGGGTGACGGGTACACATTACATCGAGCGTTACTGCACCCTCTCCGATAATGGTATTTGTTCAGGAGAACAACAAACTGATTTGATTCATTTCACACGCCGTTGCTGTAGCAAAATGTTTTACTCATTAAGTACATTAAAAAAAAACACAAAAATACACTTTTCAAATTAAAACACTGCGTGTTTTACTGGAACATAAATGCGTCATTAAAGTGTTTATTGATAGGACATTTATATTATTGGGCAACCAATGTTATGCCAGTAGTACAAGAACAATGACTCGAACGGGGGACTCGCAAGTATGGTATATATGCCATAATATTACATTATTTAGAGAATAGTTTTATGAGTTATGATGTCACGACTTTAATAAATTCAAATACAGCATCAGTTATCAACATTTCAGTAACAAGGCATGATGCTGTCAAAGAAATAATCACATCTGAACTTTCACATATGTGATTTAAACATTTTTCTCTAAACCAAATGTTTCAGAAAGTGCTAATGTAATAAAATATTGGTGTCCATGAGACACTTTTTCTCCAAACTGTTTTATTTTGAAGCACTTCATAAAACAAATACAAATGCAATGTCTCAACCTAGAACGCCCGACTATACATGTTTCACAAGTGTTTATGAGAATAACTAAAACATTTTTCTTCCAAAAAGTTTTATTTTGAAGCACTTCAGAAAACAAACACGCATGTTCCATAACCCGACAATCAATAAATATACGTGATATGGAAGGGAATCTGGCCCGTTGCCTTCCGACCACAGGAGTTATAATTATATAGTATATCATGAGTGACCGTACAATGTCATATGACAAGGGCGCTTATTATTCACAGTTGTGAAGTTTCGTGTGAAATATCACTAGTTGATATGGTACGGCAAACGTGCACGTCACCAATGTATGCCTATCAGAATAGAACGCAAACAACAGACCGTGCCGCAGTACCGTTTTGAATGCAACAAATATAAGAATTTCAGATTGAATAACAACAAATAGTCGCATTATGCAATGCCAATAAACTGATATTAATTACATTTTCTATCATCTTTTGGCTTTGAATTTGGCCAGGTGATAAAACAACTACTACAGCTGATGGTTATTGGGGCGTCATAGGCTGTT